AGAGTTGCTTTTTATAGACTTTTATACCAACTTAGATTCACATTTCTATTACATTTTCTATAGGATATCCTGATGATAATTACTACTCAGGTGCAAATTAAAGGACAATTTTGATCAAAGTAATTATAATTTGGATCACAGTTCTATGACAAAACAGTTCAAAGGATAATTCCTTACTAAGTATGTGGTAGAGGTTTACAAAAATGATTAAGAAATTGTTAGAGCCTTCTTTCCAATCATGAAAAAAAAAACCTTTGCAATTATAATTATTGACATTATGTACCTTTTGAAATAAGTTATATGTCTTATAGATTACATATCAAAGCACATAATATTTATAAGAAAATAATGTTTGGGTATTAAATAATCACATTTCTTTAAGATCCATTCCTACTTAGTTTTGTGCTCTTAATACACTTGTGTCACATTTCAGTGCTTCTGGAGCTGTTGTAAAGGTTCATTGTTCCATTAACAAACCACTTATATTGAACGTAAGTCAATCGCATTCCTACTGTCTAACATCTTTGCTTTTTAATTCTGTGCTTTACTTCTTACCAACCAAAATCATTTAATGCAATCAACTTTATGTTCTGCTGAACAGGGAGATGATTATATCTATTTCAGGTAAAATCCCATTGGATTGATATTTAAATGCAGTGCAATGAATGGAAAAACTTGTTAGTTTGTGGTCATGCTTTGATTGTGATTTACCCTAGTGTCAAAAATCCATAATTCTAATTCTCTTCTGCTCAAAAGAGTCAGCTAAGAAATAAATGTCAAAACAATAAGGACTAGATGGCAAAGAAAGATGAAAATTCACTATCTTAATAAATGTTGAACGATTATTTCTCAGTACTAATTAATTTGATTACTGCACCACCTATGCTACTTACAATTTAGTATTGTTGAGATTTCTTTTCTTTTTTATGTTAGATACTCAACTTTATAACCCTAATCTATTAAAAATCCATAATTTTTTGAATCAAAATCTTTATCACTTTCCTCTTTATTTTTGAAAAGAAAATTACTGCACTAGTACAGAATTTTTATGCAAAGCCAAGACCAATACTTTGTTTAGATTAACTCCTAATAATAAAAGCATTGTTACTATGAATGGTAATTTATTATTCTGATTATAAATATTTTGTACTGATATTTAGCATTTTTCTAAGATAATGATCATATGTAAGATGAAATGAAATTTAGTAACAAATATAGGTGACCATGAGGGACCACATATAATAAGGAATCCTATTATACTGCAGGAAATGATCACTCTGGGAAGCAGCACTAGCTTTCTGAGCTTACTGCTTAAGTCGTGTAAAACTGGACGAGAAAAAGAAACACTAGAAATTACACAAAAGGGAATAAACCTGTTTTAGCAAAAGAAGAAGTAGATGTTGTCATGATCATAATTCTGCCCCTGCACTATAAATATCTGAATCTATAGCTCAGAGAGTCCCTTCCCGTGAATAAATACATTTTGATGCAACAAATACGGTCATTATTTCTTTGGAGGAAGTTATGCTTACATTTACAAAAATGTATACAGCAAGTGTAATTATAAATTACTAAACTTTTATTTATTAACTTTACATGTAAATGTAAATTTAACTGACAAAAGATAAATATAAAGCAAGGTGTGGTGGTATGTGCTTTTAATCCCAGCACTTGGGAGGCAGAGGCAAGAGGATCTCTGTGAGTTCAAAGCCAGCTTTGTCTACATAGTAATTCCAGGCTAGCTGGGGCTACAGTGAGTCCCTATCTCAAAAAGACAAAAATAAATAAATAAATAAATAAATACACATTTACTGAGTATCATGTTATATTTTCATACACATATACATTTTCTAATGCTTACATTAAGATAACAGACACCGGGGATGGAGAGAAGGCTCAGCGGTTAAGGACACTGGTTGTTCTTGCAAAAGACCTGGGTTTGAATCCCAGCACCCACATGGCAGCTAACAACTGTAGTAACTCCAGTCCCAGGGGACCCGACAGCCTCTTCTGACCTCCCCAGGCATTGCACGACACAGGTGCACTGACCTAAACGCAGGCAACACACGCATACACATAAAATAATAAATTTTTTTAAAAAAAGATAACAGACAGACACCTTGAATATTTATCATTTCTTTAAGAAAAATATTTTTTCCTAGCTTTTTAAGGCAATTAATTATTGCTACTGATAGTCCTAAATATGCATAGTTTTAAATAAAAAAAAAAAGAATGTTAAGGTGCATTATTGAAGAAAAGAAGCAGGAATATTTTTTAATTCCTAGAATCAAATGAAGATAATAATACAATTTATCAGAACATCTGAGAAACAGAGAAAGAAGTTCTAAAAAGAAAGTTCATAATATCAATGTTCACATTAAAGTACCAGAGAGATCTCAAACATAACCTTACTGCTCTACCTCAGATTCCAAGAAAAATGGCAGATAATACAAATGCAAATACACTGGATGGCAAGAAAAAATAATGATTAAAACAGAAACTAAGGAAATGGAATCTAGAATAATAATATATAGAATAATCTCGCACAAATTATCTCACTTATATTTGAAAAGATAAACAAGTTGACAATTCAAAGTAACCAAAACAAGAGAAAGTTGATTCAAAGTTTTGAAATTAGTGATGAATGGGTAAACATTATGACTGATACTTGTGAAGTTCAAACAATCATTAGAGAATATTCTGAAAATTTATATTTAAAAGTCTGGAAGAAGTAGAATTGGATAAATTCGTAAACATTAACTTACATTAAACAAAGATGCATACAAGCAACCAGTTTCGTAACAATGAAGAGAGTGAAGTAGAAATAAAAATCTGCCAACAGTGAAAACCCAGGACTGCAGACAGTCACTGAAAATTCTCACAAGAATGGGCATCAATACATTTTATGATGAGTAATTCTTATTGTCACCTTTACAGAATATATAATCATCTAGGAGATAAACCCCAAGAAACACCTATAAGCATTTATCTAGTACTAGGTATGCCTTTGAGGGATTATCTCAATTCAGACAGGAAGAGTTCTCCTAAACTCAAACAACACTATTCTCTGGACATGGTTCTGATTGCATAACAAAGAAAAAGCTAGCGGAGCATTCATCATTTTTGCTTTCTGACTCTGGGTGCAGAGTGACCAGCTGTCTCAGTTCCTGCCTCAAGACTTTGCCATCATGATGTTCTGTATCCTTGAACTGTGAACCCAAATGAACCCTGTACCCCATAAATTGCTTTTGTCAGTGTATTTTATCATAAAACAAGAAAAGTAACTAATATACTTCTCAAACCATTCCCAAAAGTTAATAGAAGTTACACTGAACTCATTGTACAGAGCCAGATTTACAATAACAAAACAAGGTAAGAGCTTAGCATGGTGGCACAGGCCTTTGATACCAGTGCTCAGGAGGCAGAAGCAGGTGGATCTATGTGAGATTGAGGCCAGCCTGGCCTACATCCTGAGTTCCAGACCCACTGGGACCAAGGAGGACCCTCTCAAAATAAATAAATAAATAATAAATAGAATAGAACAATTAAAAAAGAAAAAGAAAATGAAAACCACTGAACAAGCTTCCTGATTATCATAGGAAAAAATTCTCATTAAAATATTTTAAATGAAAAGTATATTAAAAAGAGTCAAGAATACATTAAGTAACAGGGCCTGAAAGCTCATGCCTTTAATCTCAGCATTTGGGAAATAGAGACAGGTAGATGTCTCTGCACAACAGGCTAGTCTGCTCTACATAGTGATGTCTACGCAAGCCAGAGTTACACAGTGAGGACCATATTTCCAACACAAGCATGAATAAAAATCATTATGAGGATTATACATCTTTACAAAGTAGGTTTTAATCAATGAATTTAAAGTTTGTTTTGATTTCATTTCATAGATGTAAAGTTGACTCAGCATACATAAATTAATAAATGTGATAAAATTATTAAATAGAGTAAAATACAGAAGTTACATGATTATTTGAATAGGTGATGAAAATGATTTTGACAAAGCTCATCATCATTCATGATTAAAATCCTGAAGAAACTGGAAACTATCTTTATTAAACAATAACAAAACTTTAACAACAAAACTTTATTAAATGGATTAAAAAACACAAACCATTTCTTCCAAAATCTTCAGTGAGAAAAAGGCATCTACTCTTATTCAATGTAGTCCTTAAACTTTTCACTAAAGCAACAACATAAGAGAAATAAATGAAAATGCTACAAATAGAAAAAGAAGCATTCAAATTTGCCCTATTTGGAGATGACATTATCCTGTAATTAGAAGATCCTAAAGACTCATTCAAAATCCTCTTAGATCTTTTAGCCACTCCCAGGAAAAACAGAAAAACAAACAAAACAGGATGATCCTGGCACAAAAGCAGACTTGTAGACCAATGGAATAGAGAAAATGAACAAGAAATAAACCCACAGTAATTACAATCATCTAATTTTCAACAATGTTAAAAACTTACACTGCAAGAAAGATAACATCCTCCAAAGGGTGCTGGTAATACTGATTATTCACATGTAAAAGAATGAAAGTTGATACATATTTCTCACTCTGCGCATGAAACAATTATGAGAATTAAATGCTTTAGTATAACACCTGAAACTCTGAAATTGATAGAAACAAAAGAAACAGGTTAAAAACATCAATATAGAGTTAGAAAAAGGCTTAACGAAAAGCATTCTAATAGCACAGGAATTAACCCTAAGAATTGACTAATATTATTTCATTAATTACAAAAACTTCTGCACATCAAAGAAAGCAATCTTTTGAATGAAAAAACAAACCATATATAGTGAGAATAAAAAAAACTTTTGCCAGTAATGAATATAGTATTAATATTTAAAAAGTATTTTGGGGGGCTGGAGAGTTGGCTTAGCAGCAACTGTCTGTAACTCCAGTCCCAGGGGATCTGACAGCCTCTTCTGACCTCCTGGGGCACTGTAGGACATGGGTGAACTTACCTACATGCAGGCAATAAGTGTTTGCTCTGGCAGCACGTTTACTAAAATTGGAATGATACAGAAAAAATTAGTATGGCCCCTGTGCAAGGAAGACATGCAAATCCATGAAGGATTCCATAGTTCTGTTTTAAATTGCAAAAATGGAATACATGTGCCAACAAATCATCAAATCAGTAAATGCACTGAATTGAATAGAAACTTTTCAAAAGAAGAACCACAAATAGCTTAGGAATACTTTAAAATATTCAGACATCTTAGTTATCTAGAAAATGCAAATTAAAACTACTGTGAGATTCTTTTTCAGCACATTCAGGATGATTGCTAAGGAAAGAGTTGATAACAAATGCTGGTAAAGATGTGCAGAAGCAGGAATGCGCATGGTGCAGCCACGTTCAAAATAACTACAGAGGCTTCTTAGAAAGTGCAGTCACCAGGTCACTGAGCTATATCTTTTTGGTACATACCCAAAGAACACTAGCACATTCCACAGAGATACTTGCACCATCCATGTTTATTGGAGAAGGATACACCCTGTAACACTTATAAAAGGCAGGAAATTGTGATCATTATTACATAGAGCTCTGAAAAAAAAGTGAATAATTATCAATACACTTAAATATAGTATTTGGATATGAGAGTCCCATCAAAGAAACTAAAAAAAACTTGGCTTTAGGCCAATAGAAGTAAATATAGTACGATTTTCAGAAAAGAATGTGTACGTTAATGCTGGACTAATTTAGTCAACAGTATTAATTACACAGAAGAAGAAACTGTGCTTCCAGGCCTAAGAAAATTAATAATTGTGTCCTCCAAGTGTGGGTGTACTGCTGCAAGCTTTCAATCCCAGTGCTCAGGAGGCAAAGGCAGGCAGATCCTTGTGAGTGGGAGGCCATCTTGATCTGTATAGGGAGTTCTAGGTCTGCCAGGTCTACATAAGTAAAACCATGTCTCTACAAACTAAAATTTGTGTCCTCTAGGAATTCATTCAGTGCACAGACAAGTGACACATATCATATAATCAAATACCAAGTTGAAAAAGTGGCATAAATGAGTGATATACAGCAGGAGAAACAGCTCATTTAGTAAAGTGCTCACCACACAAGCATGAAGACTTGAGTTCAAGCCCCACCCCCGACCTATGTAAAAGCCAGACAAGGCAGCAAGTATTTAATCCCTGTGGTGGGGAAGCCATCAGCTCTTTAGGGAGAAGGTTGGCCTCAAAAAGTAAGGTGGAGAGCAAAAGCAGAGGACAACAAATGTGGGTCTTTTGGCTTCTACATGCACACACATTTAATAAATGTTCCTATACCACATACACATATATACATGCAATAAATACATAAATATATATGCTATATTATTACATTCAAATAACTTTGACCAATAATAAAAAATAAAGTCATTTAATCATTTACTACACAAAGACGGATTTCTTTCTAGTATGTTTGTCATATTTACATTCAGAGAACTATACCAAAGCTATGCTTTTTAGTTTATGAACATTAAAGAAGGTTTATAAGCACTTAAGTAATAATGTCTTTTGTATCTTAATAAACTGATTTTCTTTTAAGGAAATTGCTTATCTGTTTGGTAACCTGTCCTTTATACAATAAAGCAAACAAAAACAAAGTAGTGAATTACGGAGAGGGCTTTAATGCATATTGAAAGTTTATAACAGTGTCTCTATTTTGCACACTTATAGATATGAATTCTAGATATTTTGAGATCTCTGTAGGACTTCATAGTTCTTAATTTGATTACTATAAGAAAGGAAGTAATGATTTGTTTTACTATTTCAGTATTTTATATATGAGATATTCCAAAGCAATGACGTTTGTGGTTAAGTCTATAAATACAAAGATCTAGAGCTAAAACAAGAAATTTGGAGGATTTGGAGTGTAGGAATTACTAAGATGGACAGACACAAGGTTGGGTATGCACAAAACTCATTATGAAAGAAGCATATAACAAATAAAATGTATAAAACATGTAATGCCTGAAAAGAAACTTAGAATGAACACAGTTCAGTGCTTACTAGGCATCAAAGAGTTATTTTTCACATTTTATCATTTCTCTACCATATTTGCTAAATAATTTCAACGTGATAGCTGCTTTGCTAAGGGCCTGAGCAAATTTCAGTGTCAATGGTAACACAGAGTAAAAACGCAATGGAGATGAGGGATGGTCAGAATTGCTTTTTGGTAATTTTCAGTTAGGCAGAATGAATACCTTCTACAGATCTGCTATACAACACTGTGTATTGCACATTGTACAGTTATTACTGTATTGTATACTAGTCATTACAAAGGTAGACTTTACATGATTGCATGATTAAAAGAAAGACTGAGGGGATAAAGGAAAACACAAGGCAATGAACACAAAGGCATTTGCTAAGAAGTACCTAGAGCAAAACTGAACCTAGTGTCTCACAAGAGGGATGTGACAGTTCTCCTTGTCTCTTTGTTTAGAGCAGGACAGGAAGTCAGCACAGTTTGCTTGGACATGAATCAGACTGAGGGCCCGACATGTCCTCTATCTGTTACTATTGCTGGAATATCTAGATGTCCAGAACTTAGAAATCTGGAGTTTATTGGAAATTCAGAACTCTTCAAAGTAAAGGAAGTTATGACAATTTATGTTTCAACTTGATTAAGATAAAGAGTGGCTAGATAGACAGGAAAGCATTATTCTTGGGTTTGTCCTTATGGACATTTCCAGAAGAGATCAACATTTAAATCAGTAGACTGAGAAAGAACTTTTCTTCACTAACTTATGGAGCATCATTCAATCCCTTGAAGGCTTCTGTCAAATAGAACAAAAGAGCAAAGCGAAGATCTGTCTCTTCCTTTTATCCGTATTCTATCATCAAACAAAAAAGCTCTTGGTTCTTGGGTATTTGAAAAGCAGGGCCTATACAACCTTCCATCTTTTGGATTTTTACATTTAGACTAAATTTTCCACAAAATATGCTTATTTTTAACTTGTAGAAATTAGATAGTGGGATTTCATGACCTCTGTACTCATGAGACAATTCCTGTAATAAATTTCTCTTTGTTAAGTCTTTTGTAGTTGTTCTGAAAAATCTTTAATACAGGAGCCACTAGTTGTCTTATAATTGGGCAAACCTAGTCCTCTGGGTATGGAGAGATTAGGCAAGGCCTCTTGATATAAATTATCGGGATTTAAATTCTGGCTCCTATAATACTGGCCTAAGTAACTGGGAGGATGTAATTATTTTTTCTGGTTCCATCTTTATTTCTTTTTCTATAAAATGTGAATTAATGGTAATACCTATCTAGATTTGCTGAAGATAACATGCATTAATGTGGGAGAGTCACCAAAATATTGCATAGTTCATAAAAGCATTTAATGCTATTACTATCCTCTTTGGCATACCACCATAGTATGTAACACTTTATAAATAGAACAGTATTTATTTTTCAGATACATGCTGTATAGCATCTAGAATTCCATTTCTTTAAAAAATCGCTGATTTTTTTTCACCAATGACTGGAGGGTTTATGTCAATACTGCTAGTATTGCATCTCACTTGCAATAAATGTATCATTTAGACATTGAATCTAAGAGAAATTTATCCCTGACTTATTATTGTAAATTGCATATATTTACTTAGTATTGATACCATGTGAAAGATTTCAGAAATATATAAAATGTTAATGTAAAATTAATAATATTTAACAGTATAAATGAGGAATTTAGCATTTTAGCTTAAGGACTTATATTCCCACAATATATTATTTTCAACTGTTTATTTATGATTTGCAATTTTAAGCAATTATATGACATTTTGAATTGATAAAATGGGTAATACGATTCTATTTTTATAATTGAAGACTGATATAATTAATATTCATCAATTTTCCTTGCATCTGTTACTGTAACATCTATTATTATACGAATAATTGAAACTGCATATGACAAGTCAATACTGCTTTAATTTTGAAAAAAAACGTAAATAATGGTCTTATGAAAACATACAAATGTTAAATGAAAATGTTTTATTTAAATAGGTAAATTCTGAAGATTTGCCTTAAATTGCACTCACAGTTGTAAACTAAGCTCACTGCTTAGTTTCATACAAAGGCCACATTAGAATTTATGTTTAATGGAGACAATTTGTTCTACACATTGGAAAATTTTATAGGTGAAATAATTTCAAGCTTCAAACAGATAAATAACTTCAAATGCTGAATTAGAGCTTTGTCTTAGTTTTGACAGGTCCTATAATCTGCTGTGGGTAGGGAGAGAAGGCAACTAACAGATTCCTGCTAAAGCACAAAGCCTTCGGATGACACTACATTCTGCAAACCTGAGCATGTCCAGATTATTCAGAACCCATCAAAGGCTTCGGGATGCTGTGAATAATACAACACACTGCAGAAGAGTATAATATAATAGATAAAAGAGCAAGAGTTCCTTATTTAAGTTTTCCTTACTTACCAATAAGCACATAAATTGAATTTATTGATTTTAGGCTGACATATCGAATAGAAATATAAAAGCCAGAACCATGTGCCTATAATTATTTCATATTAGAGAAAAATTCAGGTTATTTCTTTCATCATATTGTTATTTTTGTTGTTGTTAATTTGTTTTTCTCTATTCTAGACAGAACCTTGGATCAGTTCTTCAAACTCCTGAGACCTACATTCCCTGTAAATTTGAATGCAGCCTGTAAACTTCAGGGGCATTACTAATAGGGCACTGGGACCCAGCTTTCTAATCCCTGCCACAGGGATTTCTAAAAAGACAGGAAACTGTGATCATTCTGCAGAACTGTGAAAAATGAATTATCACTACAGTTAAATAATTATAGAATTTATATATGACAGCCCCATCAAAGAGATCGAACACAACTTCTATGTTGGGCAGTAGAAGTAAATGTAGCAAGATTATTAAAATAGAAAAAAATACTCACTTATGCCTGTCCCATTTATTTAACAATACTTATTAAGCATATACTCTAGAGAAGAAACTATGCTATGAGGTACAGATACATAAGTCATATAGGAATTGTCTTGTAGGAGTTCATGTAGAGCATAGATAAATGAAGTATGATACATAATCAAATACCATGGTGAAATGGGTGGGTAGATAACTCAT